CAACGATCTATAACTTTAATCATATGTACATTCTAACAGTGAAAGACAGAATCCCAAAGAAAATTCCAGAAAATCACATCATATGAATTTATACAAATTGATAACCATCTGATGAGGAAAAATAAGCATTCTTTGTAAGTGGGCAAACCTGCAAAATCAGCAAGGGGTCAAATACTTATTTCCCCCACTGTAGGTTTGATCTTTGTTTAGAATATAGCATCGTTCCGAACACACATGTTCGCCTCCTCCTCTGGAGGACGCAGAGACACCAACGCTTAGCACAAGTCCGCAAGGAAGCCCCGGATGGAGATCCAACTCCACCCACATCCAAGTCGGCCATTTTGATTAGGTCATGTGACTAGCAGTTTACTGTCTATACGAAATCAGAAGATAAACGATGTCCTAACCCTAACCCTAACCCTATCCCTGACCCTTATCCTGACCCTAACCGTGACCCTAACCCTGGCCCTAAACCTGAACCTAACCCTAACCCAAACCCTTCATAGTTGTGAGAAATATTTTTTGGTTAAACTTGTTTGGACTTATTGTCCAAACCTATTTAACATCCACTATTTTAACATAATATTATGTACAGAATTTAATTCAGTGTTTGCAAGATTCATTTAAATATTTTCAAATTAATGTCTATATTGCCATGAAGCAATAAGGATTTTCTTGCCTGGGATCTTCCTATTGGTGACCTAATCAAAATGGCCGACTTGGATGTGGGAGGAGTCGGATATCCACCCGAAGCTCCTACAGGCTGAGTTAGGGTCAGGGTCAGGGTCAGAGTTAGGGTTAGGAATAGGGTCAGGCTCAAGGTAAGGGTCAGGGTTAGTATTAGGGTTAGGGCCCGGGTCAAAATGGCCGACTTGGACGTGTACCTATGCAGTGGTGCAGCAGGCGGCCCAGCGTGTCCTGCGTCTCGGCGGGTCGGGACAGAAACAGCCGCACGGCGGCCGTCAGCAGCTCCTGCTTCACCCCCGGAGAGGCCTCGCCCCTCAGGCCGTCCACAAAGGCCTCCAGGGTATAGGGGGCCCCCGGGACCCGGGCCCCATAGGCCCCCAGCAACCAGAGCAGGGCCCGCCGGCCCTGGGTTAGGGTTAGGGTCAGGGTTAGGGTCAGGGTTAGGGTTAAGGTATTGAAATACATCAATAAAAGATTAAAACAGCAATAAAACGCATCCTTCTTCCTTTAAAAACAGTGAAAACAAACAACGCCTGCCCTAGGGGGTTGGGGATAGGGTTAGGGTT